TTAAGTTATCATCAGAGACTACCTACTATAAAAACTAATAGGAAAATTTTCTCATACCTTTCTTCCAAAAGCGAGAAAAGTTAAGATGCTAATACTCTGGGACTTCTGGTCATGATGGCGGCATAGGTAAACCAGTATCACGTCCTCCCACAACCACATCAAAGTTACAACTAAACTACAGAACAACCATCACTCTAAACTGCTTGAAATCAAGCTGAATGGAAGTCCTACAACTACGGAATTAAAGAAGCAGCCACATCAAGACTGGTAGGAGGGGCGGAGGCAGACGGGCTGGTCCCACATGGATAAAAATCAGGAGGATACCTTGGCTGGGAAGGTCCTCCCTGAGGTTGAAGTGGTCCCCGTCCCACACCAGGTGCCCCGCTCAGGGTTCCAGTGCCAGGAGGAGAAGTTCTCATAACTTCTGGCTGGAAAAACCAGCAGGAACTGAGGCTCAGGGAGGCTGAGGCGGCTGGAACCCCAGGCAGCTCCTCTTAAAGGGCCCGCGCATGGACTTATCAGACTGACTCCCTCTTAGCTTGGAGGGGAGGCAGCTCAAGGGGCGCCAGAGACATACAGGGGAGAACTGAGCTGTTTGGCATTGGAGCGAGGGCTGGAGAGGGGGCTTTATCCAGGACAAACATGCTGTCAGAGGCCTTTGTTCCCTTGGTGAGACCTTCCCTGGGGCAGCAGACAGCTGCCATATCTGGGACTCCAGCAACCTGGCTCACACTGGTTGCCCCACCCTGGTGATTCCCTGAGGCCCCGCCCCACCCAACTTTCAGGCCCACCCAAGCTGTTGCACTTGCTTAAGCATAGGATTGGCCTGTCTTGGATCCTGCTTCAGGTTGTCCTAAATTCTTTCAAACAAGCAGCATCTGGTCTCAGCTAGCCCATACCTCTTGTTTAGTAATACACAGAAACAAACACAGAGAGGCAGCCAAAATGAGGAGACAAAGAAACAGGTCCCAAATGAAAGAATAGAACAAAACCCCAGGAAAAGAACTAAGCGAAATGGAGATAAGCAACCTAACAGATACTGAGTTCAAAATACTGCTTATAAGGATGCTCAATGAACTTAGTAAGAACCTCAGTGAACTTAGTGAGGGCCTCAAGAGCATAAAAAAGGACCAGTCAGAAATGAAGGAGGCACTAACTGAAATAAAGAATAATTTACACAGATTCAATAGTAGAGTAGGTAAAGCCAAGAAGCAAACCATCGATTTGGACTCTAAGGAAGCAAAAAACACCCAATCAGAACAGAAAAAAAAGAATCCAAAAAAATGAGGATAGTGTAAGGAGCCTCTGGGACAACCTCAAGCGTGCCAACATTCGCATCTTGAGGGTGCCAGAAGGAGAGAGAACAAGGAATCAAAAACCTATTTGAAACAATAATGGCAGAAAACTTCCCTAACTTGGTGAAGGAAACAGACATACAAGTTCAGGAAGCACAAAGAGTCCCAAACAAGATGAACCCCAAGAGGCCCAAGACACATCATCATCAAAATGCAAAAGGTTCAAGACAAAGAGAGAATCTTAAAAGCAGCAAGAGAAAAGCAGTTAGTTACCTACAAGGGAGTTCCCATAAGACTGTCAGCTGATTTCTCACAAGAAACTTTGCAGGCCAGAAGGTAGTGGCAAGAAATATTCAGAGTGATGAAAAGCAAGAACCTACAACCAAAATTACTCTACTCTATCCTGCAAAGCTGTCATTTAGAATTGATGGCCATATAAAGAGTTTCCCAGACAAGAAAAAGCTAAAGGAGTTCATCACCACCAAACCGTTATTATATAAAATGTTGAAGGGTCTTTTTGAAGAAAAAGATAAAATATATAAACAAACAAAATGGCAATGAATATATATCTATCGACAATTGAATCTACAAACAAAATGAACAGGCAGAACAGAAACATTCTCATAGATACAGAGAACATTTTGTTGGTTGCCAGATGGGAGGGGTGTTGGGGGAATGGGTGAAAAATGTGAAGGGATTAAGAAGAACAAACTGGTTGTAGACTGACAAACCACAAAGAGAAGGAGGTTGGGGGGTGGGAGGAAATAAACCAAAGAACTTATATGCATAACCAATGAACACAGACAACAGTGTGGGAAAAGGCAGGAGGGGTCAATGGAGGGGAAATGAGGAACATCTGTAATACATTCAACAATAAAGATTAAAAAAAAATTTGATAGAGCCACATCGACTGGTTACCTCCGGCACGACCCAACCAGGGCGGAGGATGGACTGCAACCGAGGTATGTGCCTTGGCTGGATTTGAACCCTCGACTCATTGGTCTGCGGACCGACACTCTAACCACTGAGCCATGCCAGCCAGGGCGAATTAATAAAATTTTAAACTGTACTTAATGAACATCAGATAGTACTATTTTCACCACATACAATGTCTGCTCCAAAGCTTGCTAAAATTATAACCAGATGGTACATTCATAGATTAAATTGGCCTATGACCTACCACAAGTTTATAACTGCTAATGGGTAAAAAATCAAAACAATAAACTCTGGAGGAGAAAGGCAGCCAAGTGGCTTTTGTAAGCAAGTACATGACAATGGTCATTGATTCAAGAAATAGCCTTATTTTCAGGGAGCTGCTAGCCACTAAAGCATACCTAATGTCTTTGTCAGGGAAAAGAAGGAGGTTTATATATTTTCACGCATGGTTGGAAAACTATGAGTTCTAGTAATAGAAGATAAAATCAATCAATTAAACAACAAAAATTAACTGAGTACCTATTATTGAAATCAAGAAAGATTTCACCCCTCCTATCTATGTGTAGGAAGATACTATGTTGAAGGTAATACAAAGGAATGTATGATACAGCTCCATGCTTTATGGAAAATACAATCAACACAGTGATTGATAAAAAGGAAGACACAAAAAGGCATAAGACATGGTCTTAAATATGAAAGCAAAAACTCTTTTATTTATTTTTTTATTTTTGTTCAGATAGAGTGGGAGAGGGAGACAGGAAGAGAGAGAGAGAGAGAGAAACATAGACGTGAAAGGAACACATCAAGTGGCTGCCACCCGCACGACCCAACCAGGGCCGGGGACAAACTGCAACCGAGGTACATGCCCTTAGCGGAAATCGAACCCGGGTCCCTCAGGACCGCAGACTGATGCTCTAACCGCTGAGCCAAACTGGCCACGGCGCAAAAAGTCTTTTTAAAACACACGTTAACACACACACATTTGCAAAAGCAATTAGACAGAGAAAAAGGGATAGAGATAGAAATATCGATGTGAGAGAAAAACATTGACTGGTTGCCTCCCGCACACCTCCTACTGGGGATCACACCTGCAACCCAGGCAGGTGCCCTGACCGGGAATGAAACCAGGACCTCTCAGTCCATGGGACAATGCTCAATCCACTAAGCCACACCAGCCAGGCATGTCTCATGTATTTTTTTTAACATTTACTGGCCTGGGTCACTTTCTTCTTGCTTCAGGTTGCCTCTGAGTCACTGTCTAGTCAGCTAGTTCTCTCAAAGATTTCCCATGGGCCCAGCCAGTGTGGCTCAGTGGATTGAGCATCATCCCATGGACTGAGAGGTTCTGGTTTGATTTCCGGTCAGGGTGCATATCTGGGTTTTGAGCTCAATCTCCAGTGTGGGTTATGCAGGAGGCAGCTGACGGATGTTTTTCATTCATCGATATTTCTATCTCTCTCCCCCTCTCCCTCTCTCTCTAAAAAAATCAATGAAAAATATATATTTAAAAATTATCTTTTCATTAGGCAGCATATTTCACTGGTTTAAAAAGTGTATGGGGAGAGGTTTTAAACAAGACAAGTGTGCACTCAAATTCTAGCTCTAACGCTTACTAGCTGTAAGACTTTAGGAAAATCCCTCAACCTTACTAGGATTCTATTTCCTCATCTATAATATCAGATTCATAATATCTACCTCACAGAATTGTTTTAAGGATTATATGCAAAATATATTTAAAACACTGAGCAGATGTGTCTCAAATATAATAAATACTAAATATTGTGTTTAATTTGAAGGAAGATTGTAGTTAAGATTTAACTTTTGAAAATCCCTGCTCTGTCACTTACCATATAACTTGAACAAGTTAATCTTATAACTTTGAGCCTCTATTTCCTCATCTGTGAAATAGGGTTACCACCATCCTTCTCATAGAAGAGTGATGAGGATCAATGATATAAAGTACATAAAGCACTCAGCATAGTTGAAATACAGTAAGTGTTCCACATATAAAACTATTTCTGTTATTAAAGTGGGCCTAAAGAAACCCAATGACATTTTATACATACAAAAGTTCTCCTATATATGTTCTAAACTACATTTTGCCAAATTTTGTGCCATTTGGCCTCATTAGAGAAACAGTTGTTACATTCCTTTTAAAATATTTTCTGAGCTAGCAAATTCATCACTCTTCCTAGCCCTCTCTGAATCAGGAAGGTTTTTTGTTTTTGTTTTTATACATCTTAAATATATACAATTTTTATTTGTCAACTATATCTCAATAAAAGGTTTTTTACTTGATCTTTTTGGTATGAATAGTTTTACATAGGATGTATTTTTGCTCTGTTTTCACCATTAAATTGTAATTGCCTTGAAAGCAAGAACAGCAAAACAAATACCTTTTGTATAGCAAAATCACTGAACTATTTTCTAGCCCCACTAGCAACTTAACCAACTTAACACTGGAAAACTCACCTCCAAACAGGACCCTACCATACTTAGAGTGAATATAGGCTCCAAACACTGTTTCTTTAATCTTAATAATTAATACATACCCCTGGTCAATCTCTCAGTATTCTAAGTTATAGTTAAAATAATTACCTAGAAGAAAAGGGAAACCTACTGACATTGTCTAAAATATCTCAATGTATCATGACAAATTTATAAGTAATTCATATAATTATTCCACCATTTCTAGGTGACACATCTCTTAATTATATCAAAGGCTAAGTCACTAAAATTTCAAATCCAACACAAAAAGAGATTGCTCACCTCTTGAGATTTCTCTATATTCTGGAATACAGCATAGGCAATAAGTGAACTTGAACCTATAACACTGACAGAGATAAAAGATCAATAAAACAGGACAATTGGGGTTCCTTCATTTTTTGCTATTGGTTTTTACAGCTTTTTTTGACATATAATGAACTGCACATATTTTTTAAAATATAGACTGCTCCATGAATTTGTGTGTCATCCTTGTGCAAGGCCCATGCTAATCTTCTCTGTTTCATTCCAGTTTTTAGTATATGTGCTACCGAAACAATTGATTTTGCAAGTCAATCCTGTTGACCAAGTTAGTTTTTGATTTTCAAAGATTAATCTTCGACCTGTTTGTTTTGTTTTTTTTGGTCTTATTGTTGTTGATATGGGTACATTTTATTAATTAGAAAATATCAATATGGTAAAGAACAACATTTCTCTCTCAGTAAAGAATAAAAGCAAATCCCTGGCAGGGGGCAGAGGGGCACAGAGAATGTAGAAACCTTCAGAATTCTCTAATTTTGCTTAAACTCGTTTTTTATTTTATTTTATTATCCTCACCAGGAGGGAAAGAGAAACATTGATGTGAGAGAGATGGATCCAGTGGCTGCCACCCACAAGACCCCAACCAGGGCCAGGGACAAACTGCAACCAAGGTACTGTCCCTAGTGGGAACCGAACCCGGGACTCTCTGGTCCAAAGGCCGACACTCTAATCGCTGAGCCAAACTGACCAGGGCTGCTTAAACTAGATTAAACAGTCATATTACTTGAGATTCAGTAACCTTACCTCAGAGTAGCCATGACAAATTGTATCCACTGTATTGCCGAATAAATCTATAAACAAAATGAGAAAATAATGAAATTAAGCCTTTTATATTTACTATTCAACCTTACTCCAGTTTCACTGTTTATTAACTATCTGTGCAGAGCACAACCTCTTCTTCAGTGCCTAATCAAAACACACTATAAATCTGAGAATGAGTAGAAAGACTGAATAGAGCCCTGGAAAGGAAAGGTGGCTTCTTTCTTTCTCCCTTATTGCTACATCTCTGGGAAACAGTAAGATAAAAATAGAGAGATGGATATAAAGTGACCAAGTGATTTAAAAAAAACAAAACAGCTAAATGAGAAAATAAAGGGAAGAATAAAATGGAGAAGAGGTAGAAAAAACTAAATTTTTAGACAGGACAGAATGGAAAGAATGGATAACAGGAAAGGCAAACAAATACAAATTGAGTCGAATGACAGACAGAGGAAAACAGAATAAGCAACAGGAAAAAGAAAACAGTATGGAGAGAGACACGGTGTGTGAAAAATATAGAACAGGGAGGAAGAAAAGGGGAGCAAAAAAGGAGAAAGGGAAACTTCTAATCTCACCAAGTCCGGATTGTGCGTCAGAATTCGAGCCTCCAGTAGGAAGGCCATAGGGACTTCAGCCCCAGCTATGCTCAAGCAGCCGGATCCTTCTTGGTCAGGTTCTGAATCCCCAAGTGGTGAACAGGCTCCACCCCTACCCCAACTGAGCTCCTCCCTGCCCAATCCTGCCCTGTATCTTGAGGGCAAGGAGAGAAGGCAGCAGCAAGTGGAGGAGAAAGCCCAACAAAAATAGAAAAAGCAGGTGACAAGGAAACAAAGTTCTGAAAAGCATTAGAATTGTTAGAAGGGGTAAGGCAGGAATAATAAAAAGTAGAAAGAATGAGTCATAGTGAAAAGGTAAATAGAGCTGCAAGAAATCAATGGAACAGAAAAAAGGGAGAGAAAAATGGGGAAGGGAGGTCTGCTTAAAACTCGCCCCCTTTCAAAAACAAAAACAAAAACAAAAAAACTTGCCCCTTTTTTAGAGACAGAAGCCTGTGATAATAAAGATGGACAGCATATTCACTCAATCAATAAAGTTTTAGTAATACCAAGAAAAGCTGTGAAGAGAAGGGGTTATTAGTATCTCATATTTGGCCCAGGTGGTTTTGCTCAGTGGTTAGAGTGTCGGCCGGCGGACCAGAGTCTCAGGTTTGATTCCAGTCAAGGGCATGTATCTCGGTTGCAGTTTGTCCCTGGCCCTGGTCAGGTCATGCTAGAGGCAACCAATCAATGTGTCTCCCTCACATCAATGTTTCTCTCTTTCTCTCTCCCTCTCTCCCACTCTATCTGAAGAGAAATAGAAAAATATCCTTGGGTGAGGATTAAAAATAATTTTTTAATATCATATTTGTTTAATACTAACAGCTTCAATATTCTATACCAAAAATTCCCACCAGAAATATAACTATGTAGTTAAATGACATGATTCATCTAATACAATTTATATATAAACTTTGTACAAAGCATTGTGTTATGGAAAATATAAAGACAAATAAGATATAGACCCATACTTCCAGGAGCTTATAATATAGTAGGAAAAATAGCTTGAATACCAAAATCTTAAAACCCGCATACAAAAATAATACATACTGATTGGCATTTTAACAGTATTTGTAAGAACTGGTAACATTTGGACAAAAATTGGAGGAAGAAGAAAGCAGAAGGAAGAACATTTTATTTATGTAACCATTCATTTCTTCTAACCACACTTTCATATATTCTACAAATATTGACAATATAAATTAGATCATTTGCATGGCCTGAGTAATTTAAATATATGACTCATTTATTCCTATGAGGTTAAGAATATAGTGTTGAGTATAAGACAGGACATTGTTAAGTGCAGGTAGGCTGTAATCACTTTGCTTAAACTATTAGATGAATAAATAAATGAAAATACCAGTAAATTTCTGGATCAGAAATCCCTATTATCAGTCTTAGAGAGTGTTTTGAAGTCTCTAATCATATATCTATGTAATAAGGGTGAGGGGACTAATGACAGTCTCACCAAATGATAAGGGAATGCTTCTGAACAAAGGACTCTTGTCTCAGTCAAGAACAAATCTCAGATTGTTCAGAAAACAGCCATGCCAGATTAGTCTGCTGCTCTGGATAGAACTTTTCTTTTCTGGCATCTTTTCTAAGATGTCTTATGCCACCAGCCAACACATGGGAATTTACTTTTCCATTTTCCTCTCTAAATTAGTCCCGTCTTCTATATATTCAGCACCGTCCTCCTTTGAAATGTCCTTGGAAACATAATCTTCCCATCTTCCTTTTCTATAAGGGTTAACCCAAACCCAAATGATAAAGTGGGTGATAGTTATTTTCAGTATTCTTTTCTCCTCATTTTTATTATTTATTTATTTTAAATCCTCACCCAAGGCTATTTCTCCGTTCATCTTCAGATAGAGTGGGAAGGGGGGGGGGGGGAAGAGAGAGAGAGAGAGAGCGCGCGAGCATCAATGTGAGAGAGACATATTGATTGGTTGCCTCCTGCATGACCCCAACCAGGCCCAGGGACCGAACCATAACCAAGGTACATGCCCTTGGCCAGAATCAAACCCATCACTCTTTGGTCTATGGGCCGATGATCTAACCGCTGAGCCAAACAGGCAAGGGTTTTTCTCCTCCTTTTTTTTTTTTTTCTAAAAAAATGTATTCGAGAGCGGGAGGGAAGAAGAGAAATATCAATGTGAGAGAGAAACATCAATTGGTTGCCTCCTGTATACACTCCAACTGGAGATAAACCCACAAAACCTGGGTATGTGCCCTGACCGAGAATTAAACCTGCTACCTCTTTGTATACGGATGAAGCTCCAGCCAACTGAGCCACACTGGCCATCTCCTCTTTTTACTTACCTCCTTAGGAAGCTCAAACACACCCCAGCTCTCACTTAATGTAATGGCCTACTCTATATTACATATCAATTTAAGTTAACAGATACTGATTAAACTTCTACCATGAACAAGTTAATGCAGTGGACAGAACGTCAAGAAAAACACCTACCTAGTAAAATATTTTTATTTAAGCAAAATTTCTCAACTCAAAAGATTTTTAGTAATAATAGCTACAAATTATTAAGTGCTTTTTATGTGTATAGCTCTATGCTAAGCATTTTAATCCTCAACACAACCTTTTTTTTTTTTTATCCTCACCTGAGCACATTTTTCCATTTTTTGTACAGGTAGAGTGGGAGGGAGAGAGAGGAACAGAGAGAGAGAGAGAGAAACATCGATGTGAAAGGAACATATCGAGTGGCTGCCACCCGCACGACCAACCAGGGCCGGGGACAAACTGCAACCGAGGTATGCGCCCTTAGCGGGAACCGAACCCCGGTCTCTCAGGACCGCAGGCCGACACTCTAACTGCTGAGCCAAACCGGCCAGGGCTCAACACAACCTTTAAGGTAAGAAGTATTATGCCCATTTTACAGATTAAAAAAACAAAACAAAAAAACTAAGGCCCGGCCAGTGTGGCTCAGTGGTGAACATTAACCCATGCACCCATGCACCCATGTACCAAGAGGTCGCCTGTTCAATTCCCGGTCAGGGCACATGCCCAGGTTGTGAGCCTGATCCCCAGTGGTGGGCATGGAGGAGGCAGCCAATCAATGTTCTCTCTCATCAATGTTTCTATCTCTCTCTCCTTCTTCATTCCTCTCTCTCTCTAATATCAATAAAGAAAAATTAAATAAAAAACTAAGACTTAAAGAAATTAAGTCCCTTTCCTATGGTTACAGAGTTGCTAAGTAATAATGCCAACATTCAACCCTGGCCGGTTTGGCTCAGCGGTTAGAGCGTCGGCCTGCGGTCCTGAGAGACCTGGGTTCGGTTCCCGCTAAGGGCACGTACCTCGGTTGCAGTTTGTCCCCGGCCCAGGTCGGTTGTGCGGGTGGCAACCACTCGATGTGTCCTTTCACATCGATGTTTCTCTCTCTCTCTCTGTTCCTCTCTCTCCCTCCAACTCTACCTGAACAAAAAATGGAAAAATGTCCTCGGGTGAGGATAAAAATAAAATAAAATAAAATAAAATAAAATAAAATAAAATAAAATAAAATAAGCCAACATTCAAACTCAGTCAGTCTGACATCTCCCTCTTAACATCTACAGTATTCTTACAGGGAACTGCATTATGGGAGAAAAAGGAAAGATAATTTTAAAAAGTAACATAACATCAAGAGAGTTCTTTTATTAAGCAATTGCTTCTTAGATATGACAACAAAAGCACAAGCAACAAAAGAAAAAAATAGATATATTTGTCTTCAAAATTAGAACTTTTGTGCTTCAAAGGATACCCTCAAAAAAGTGAAAAGGCAACCTACAGAATGAGAGAAAATATTTGTAAACCATGTATTTGATAAGACTTGTATACAGAATATATAAGGAATTCCAACAACTCAATAATAAAAATACAACCTAATTTAAAAATAGCCAAAAGTTTTAAATAGAGATTTCTCCCCAAAAATACACAAATCACTAATAAGCCCTTGAAAAAATGATCAACATCATAAGCCATCAGGGAAATACAAATTAAAATCACAATGAAGTGCCATTTCACAAGTACCAGGATGGCTATGAATAAAAAAAAAAAAAAAAGATAGACAATACTAAGTGTTGATGAAGATGTGGAGAGAAAGGAAACCTCAGACATTGCTAGTGGGAATGTCAAATATTGGAGCCACTTTGTCAGTTTCTCAAACATATACTATATGACTCAGCTTCTAGATATAAAACAGGTTCTACTCTTAGGTATACTTGGACATAAATGTTTGTAACAGTTTTACTCATAATAGACAAAAAGTAGAAACAACATAAATGTCCATCAACTGGCGAAGGGATAAATAAAATGTGGTCTATCCATACAATGGAATACTATTCAGCAATTAAAAGGAAAGAAGTACTGCCCTAACCAGTTTGGCTCCGCGGTTAGAGCACTGGCCCTCAGACCAAAGGGTCTCGGGTTTGATTCCTGG